ATCTTTTCAGAATACTAAAAATATGTGATATATATTTTGTGATGTTTCTTGGGCAGTCAACTGTATAACTATTTGATGTGTTTTCAGCATTTCTGCAGCTGCCCAAAGCATTGGAAACTCATTTCATATTGACATGGATGCTTTCTTGAGATGACCTCATTGCATTAATTTGCCATGAAAACTTAAAATGTTGTGTACTTTACTGAATAGTTTGGTATTTTGCAGTGCTGTTCACACTGCAAGACTATAAATTATTTTCATTCTGTTTTATTTTATAATCAGTTTTTAAAAGAACATGTATTACAAAATGTATTACTGCTAAAGAATTAGGTTTTGTGTCATATACCAATTTTTTGTACGATATAAATATTTACAAACTTTAGTTTGAATTTCAAGTAAAGTAGAGGTTATATCGACTCGTAAGGTCCATATTTTTACTGCACAAAAATATAATTATGTGGTTACATTACAGATATCTGTTTTCAGTGTTAAGGTTGAAGGACTACAAAAATGTTGAGCAAATTTTTATTTTTGATTATTACATTTTACTTCAACATGAAAATATGAGCATCTCAAATGGAAACCATGACTGTTGATTCATTCAGTGCTGTGCTTTGACATGCCTATGAATTGCAACATATCTGTCCCCTGCTGCAGACATTTGTCTGAACAATTCTTTATAATATTTGTATCTTAATTGCGTCATGTTTGTGTTATATCAATACATATATTTATTTTTCCAGTCTATACACAAAACTTGTTTTAAAATAATGTTGTTAAAATTATTTATAACATTTACAATATAAATTGCATTATGTTATATTTTATGGCGCTTTTCTGTGTCGTATAATATTACATCTATCACAGCGCTTTTGATTTCGACGACATGTTTCGATGTTTACCACATCATCATCAGGCTTATCAATTCATATATTTTTAAAAACTATTGTACATTTGTGCATTGCGTTTATAGATTTTTAATTTTCAGTCTTCACTGTGCGCTGTGATAAATGTAATATTATACGACACAGAAAAGCGCCATAAAATATAACATAATGCAATTTATATTGTAAATGTTATAAATAATTTTAACAACATTATTATTTTAAAACAAGTTTTGTGTATAGACTGGAAAAATAAATATATGTATTTATAATAACTGTTAGTAAAATATTATCATTGCAGAGATTTCACATATAATACAATGGCTGTGTTGTATTTTGTTTTAGGTCTTGGCACAGTGAAAACATGACTGATAATCAACTTGAGCCATGCATTAAGCTGCCATTGGAAGATGGAGTCTTGGCAGATATTGTTGAGAAAGCTAAGGACTGGGCACTCATGCATGGTAAGAAGACTTGTACTTGTACGTTAATAGTTATCATTTTCTTGTTATTGGATTACTGTTTGTAGGAAACCATCTACTGGTATATAGAGTAATAATTTAAATTACATTCTATTTCATGGAATATATATATTCCCCATTCTGCCTCTGCAGGCTTTATAAAAGTACTCTAAGCATTATATTGTTGTGACTCAGATTTTACCTTCGAGCACTTTAGCCTGATAAATGACCCTTCAGAAATCTATTGCTTGGGACTGATACAGCTACTTTTAAGCTTTTGTGTTGTAGGTTAATTTCTTCAACCTTTTCTTTTAATCTGAAAATACTAGTTCTGATATATTTTCATTCAGAAGTAGAGCACTGGTAGTATGCATCTGAACAGTTGCCACAACAATGTGACCTACAGGAAATCCATATTCCATATTGGTCTGTTGGCATCTCACTGTTTCTGGCTTTAAGTCAGATATTTTAGGTACGCCACTGTGCTGCTTTAACTTTTACTAATTATACAGGTGCTTGTATGAGATCAAAGCTGAACTTCAGTAAGGACTCCCTGCAGTTTGCTCCATTTGTTCTGCTGCCATCAACCTTCCCTCAGAAGGAGTTCAAGAAGGCCGTGGAAATCCAGATTATCCTCAATGAGCTAGTTCATAAAGTTGCACATGATTATGAGTTTCTGTCCTCAAGTTTGAAAAGGTAAAGATACAAGCTTTGTGATTATTACAATAAATTGGCATTCTGTGTTTCTTGGGGTTATTCATTTTGTGATAGTTTTACTCTGAATAAAAGTATAACTAAAATAAAAAATAGACTTTTGGTTGGTGCTTAGTTTCCATCGATTGTTACTGTTTGTAATTTTGCTTATAATATGAACTCTGTACCAGGAGAACCATTTAGTATTTAGATACTAGTAGTTCTTTATTTTACATACGGAAACAGTTGGCCTCATTTCTTTTAACCATACAGTTGAATTTACTTATCCTCTGTGTATTTTTTTACCTTGTTTCTATCCAAGCACTGTGGTTCTCAAAAAATGGGATGTTAAAATAGACTGTAACTCATTTCTGTCCAACTTGATCATTTTATTAAAATTAGTTTTTATATGTAAGCTGGTTTAGATAGATTCTATAAAATCTTAGATGTATCATGGAAGAAAGTTTTTCATAGTTATTTGTTAAGTAGTATTTGTGCTCCTTACTCACAGAGCCCACTCTTCGGACGTACTTACGTGGTTCGTAAAAACCTTTAGGCAAGAGATTTAAATTTTGTTGCTGTTGTAAAATGTTCATTCTAAACATCTGTAGTGTTAAAATGTATGTAAGGCCTATTTATACATCACAACTGGACAGTAAACCACAGAAAAATTATTTCAAAGTGATGGTAGTTTTCTCTCCATTGACAACTTCCTGTGATTAAAATTGCTTGAATGTTGGTTTGAGATTACATTTGTATCTTACAAATACTATGGTAAAATATTTAGGTTTTGTCTGCTTGAGGGACCAGATTGTTGTGGTTTTAAAACACAGTCCACTTTAGTATAGAACACATGGAAGGGTATCTTAAATTTTGTTTTCTACTATGTTAGCATGGCAAAGGGTTACATTACAGATTTTACTTGGCATGGCAAAATATTTGCAAAGACAGTATAATTTGTCCCAGGATGAGTTTTTTAAATACAGATTCATCTCAATTTGTATGAGTATTTTATGTTAATAACTTATTGGTGTTAGAATTGACATGCATGTAAACATCTCTTTTCCGTGACAGCACAATAGAAGTTGACAAGTTTACAGGAAGTTTGTTCCAGATATATGAAACAGTGCATAAAGAAGGAATAACTCAGGTAAGAAAATTATTAAATAATACTGCTGTTTATATGTAAAATAACTCAGACTTGCATCTGCAGCTGTCACATACATATTTCCTTCATAATTTGTTCTCTTCATCAAGTATTGGTAGGATGATAAAATTAGGGATGACAAAATGGCTGGGACATGTAGAATGAATGGGAGAAATGCGTATAGGATTTTGGTTGGAAAACCTGGAATTATGACCAAAAGGGAATAAAAATAACTCACTGTGTTTGTGTGTATGTATAAAAAGGGTACGTCATCAAGGATGAGATGGTCAAGACATGTCGCACATAAGAGAGATGAGAAAAGTATACAAGATTGTGGTTTGAAAACTTTGAAGGGAGATCACTTCAGAGTCTAGGCATAAATGGGAGGATAATACTAAGATGGATCCCAAGGAAATAGTGTGTGATCTTGTGAATATGATATTGAACATTGGATTCATAAAAAAAAACAGGTAATTTATGGATCAGCTGAGTAGCTGTCAGGTTCTCAAGAAGGACTCTACCCCATGGAGTATGTGTAGTTGGGTGTTCAGCAACATTGTGTTTCTGATGAGTAAGAATATTTGGTATTTCTGGCATGTTCAATTCCTGTGACATATTATGATGCCCCATTTACAGTGTTTGACATACTTTGCTCCCAGAAAAGCACTGTAGCAGGGTTTCAATGTTTATATATCATTGATTGATGTGTGTTCGGCTATTACAGGATATGGTAGGGAAACAACCATTTTTTTAAAATTTAAGATGTTATCATGGATCTTATTTGGAGGGCCTGAGAAAAACTTAAGTTTACATATCTGACTTTGTAGTTAGTTTAGATTTGTAGAAAAGTTAGACTCTAAAGTGTTATTGCCACTGTGAATAATATACAAATTGTTGTACTTATTGTATAAGATTCTTGCTAAGTGAGACCAACTGTTGGCTCTTATGTGGTACCTTCTACCTGGGTAACAGCTTTTGCAAATTGATGTGGTTAACTGCTAGAAATTTCTCTCTTTTTATATTACATCAGTAAGAATATTTATAGTTTCTTGCTTAGATTATGATCTACATATGGTTTTTACATTTTTTTGAATTGCAAGACAAAAGTTTTGGTTACAGAAATAAAAACAGAGAATTAACCATGTGTTGCCTCTTTCCAGTTGAAACCTTCATTGTGTTTACAATAATTTTTGTTTATGAGCTTACTTTATTTATTACAGCAGACATTTAGCCTTGGGCTGTTCCGGTCAGACTACCTGGCCCACAGTGCTACCAATAATAACATCAAACAAGTTGAAATAAACACCATTGCATCTGGCTTTGGTGGAATATCTACACACATTCCAAGTCTGCATAGGTAAATGACAGTAACATTTTTCCTGTTCACATGTCTCATACATGTTGCATACTTATATATATTTTCTTGGATGGCCTGTTTGCAGAACAACATTGGTCTCAGTTGAAATGTGCCCATGCTGTGTGTTTGTGTAGGTGTTCTTCACAGATTGTAGTAGAACTTGGCAATATTTTTATTGTTTCTGTGCTTCAGTATACTTGCCTTGCTGTAAATGGAAACTTTTCAGTGAGTAAGAATGAGAGATGTCACTTGTGTCATATTCTATGTATTTACAAGTGCAGTTTTTGTTTTCATGAATCTAAATGTTTTCTTAAAATTATTGAATGAATACATAAAATTGGTAGATAGTAATTAATACAAAGTGGGTAGAACAGTAATCATGTAATTAATACAAAGTGGGTAGAACAGTAATCATGTAATTAATACAAAGTGGGTAGAACAGTAACATGTAATTAATACAAAGTGAGTAGAACAGTAATCATCCATATAGTTTTCTCTTCTCAGGATTGCTCAAACTCTTATTTCACCATATCTTGGAATTCCTTGAGCAAAATACTTGCTGATGTTTTGTCACTCTTTTGTAAAAAAAATTGCTTTTCCAGAAGTGCTGTGTGAGAAGCCCATTTTCTTAATGCAAAATATACTAATCCAGCCAAATAATCAACAAATTCACTGCCATGAGAACTTCTGAATTTGAAGGTAGAATGTTTAGTTGACTGTTTTTACCCATGTGAAATTCAAATCCAACGTCGATTTTCTGATTAATGGCCCATTATTCTGAAGTCATATTGATACATGAAAAAAATATAAGGTCTGCAAGTTTTATTTGGAATGTATATTTAATTAAATGCAAGGAAAACTATTTTGTTTCCTTGTGCTGTTTATTTAGTTTGTCGGTAACAGATTTTATGATGCTGTGTGGTTTCTGTACACTGTTGGCTTTATGTCGGTTTATTTCATCTGGAATAAAAGAATATCTGTATCAGTGAGACATGCAAAACTGCAAAGCATGCTTTTGGAAAATAAGTGTATTCTATTGGTATTCAAATTTTTCAGATACATACTTCAGGAACTGGGACATGGTGATAAGGTAAAAAATGTAAGTACTATGTAAGTGAAGGATCTGTAACTATTAGTATGTGGTTTTATAAAAAATGAAGGATGCGTGACTGATCGTTTTATTGTTGAAAAGATGTTCTGAGCACACGTGTGGAAGATATTTACATTGTTTAAATGTACTTAATTTTTATTGATAGAGATATGTTAGGAACATAGTTATTAGTATCTCGGTTATAGAATAATTTTTGTTGTACAGTTTTTAGTTATGAAATATTTTTTGTTGTGCAGCTTTTAATTTTAGTGCCTGTTTTTTGTTAAGGGGACAGAACACAGTTTTAAACAAAAAAGTTGCAGCTGAGATGCAGTTAAAGTGTTGTTGTTGGTTGGTTCAGTACTTATTGCTGTTGTAATGTGTTCTAATATGCACTGCCACCTGCTGGCAAAAAAATAAGTTTGATTACTTTGTTGCAACTTGAAGTATGAAATTTCAATCAATCAGTAATAGTACATATTTAAACAAAACTGTCTCTGTCCGTATCTCGCAACGCCTTAGTTTCGGTAAGATGTGTTTTATAAATGCATTCATATTTAATTTCAGGTTCCGGTTAACACGGCTTTGGAAGGTTTATGTGGAGGTATGCTTGAAGCATGGAAGCTGTTTGGTGATCCTAAGTATGTATAATGAATTTCAGTTTGTGTAAGTGCCAAAGTGAAGATATGACATTTAAAACTTAGCAGTGATTTTGTTATATTTCAGTGCAGTGATTTTGTTTGTAGTGGAGAATATAACATACAATATTTGTGACCAGCGGTTCCATGAATTTGAGATCAGACGGCAGAATCCTGCAGTAATCGTTGTCAGGCGAACCCTTACACAAATTGCAGACACAGCCAAGCTGGGGAAGAACATGGAGCTTATCATGTACGTCGTCCATTTAATGTTAAACACATGCAGCACTTTTTATTAAGATAAAAAGTTACAGATTTTTAAAGTAATTTTTGTTACCAACTTTAGAACTTTGAAGCAGGATTTTTCTTGTTATAGTGATGGTCTGTCTGTGGCAGTGGTTTACTTTCGTTCTGGCTACGAACCTGCGCAGTATCCTAGTGACAATGAATGGGCAGCTCGTCTGATGATAGAACGCTCATTGGCCATCAAATGCCCTTCTATTCATTATCACTTGGCAGGCACCAAAAAAGTACAGCAAGCCCTTGCCACACCAGGTATTTTGAAAAAGTTCCTTCTTGACCCTGCCAAAGTCGAAGCACTACAGGAGATATTTACTGGTCTTTACTCACTTGATCTGGTGAGTATAATTTATTTTTAGTATTATTGTATTAAGGTCTTATGATTTGGGGGCGATGTGGCCTGCAGCCCACAACTCTCGCATTTAAATCTGTAGGATATGATTCCATGAGAGAAACGTAGCTCGTTCTAAGCTGGTTATCTTATGTGTTGTAGCACCGTGCTTCAACATTTTTAGACTCACCGCTATGAAAACGTCAAATCCTACGTGGCTCTTTCTGTGGGTGTAAGATTTTAATTTTTTTAAAATTCTTTTTAGTATGGTGTATATTTAACGGAATATAGCATAAAAGAAATACTGCGTAAAGACTGTAATTAGTAAATCTTTGAGCTTGATAGGATTTGTGATACCCATTGATATTCTGATTTATGAGCAGAAGCAGATAAAGAAGACAGTAGATAATAGTTTAGAATTATGTATTTGTTTATCTGTTAGGATGAGCATGGGAATCGTGCAGCTAACATGGCAATAATGATGCCTGATGGTTATGTACTAAAACCACAGAGAGAAGGCGGTGGAAATAATGTGTATGGAGAAAAGATTCGTGAAGTACTGCAGTCTATGACTGATTCTCCTGAACGAACGGCTTGGATACTTATGGAACGCATCGTACCTCCAGTACAGAAGGGGTACATAATTCGTCCTGGTGGACCTAAGGTCCCTCAGATGGTCAACTTGGTGTCAGAATTGGGCATATTTGGAGTCATCATAGGGTGAGTGATGAATACGCGAAGTGTCTATTAAAACTGCCGCAGGAAATTTTTAAAGTCCAAGAATTTTGGTAAATGCTTGTCTAAACTGCTTTTATGTTACATGGATGCTTTCAGGAATTCAGATACCGTGATTGCAAATCAGCAAGTGGGCTATATGTTGCGCACGAAACTGAGTGATGCTGATGAAGGTGGTGTCGCTGCTGGATCAGGGGCCCTCGATAGCCCCTATCTGATACAGTGAGACCATAAAACTAGGAATTCAGGTATCCCATATGTTGATGGTTCTGTCTGCGGAATAGTGCACAGATTTAACAGAAGTATTTCCGTGTACTGTGGCATAAGTCTAATCTGGTCACTGATGTATGTATGTCCTGTTTCACTACAGAAATGTACATTATTTTTGTATAATTTAATGTAATACTGATTGTAACACCGTTGTAGATTTAACATACGTGTACATTGTCTCTTGTTTGTGAGACGCGGTCTAGAGTGTTCTTGTACGTTGTGTATATAATTTACACTTTTGTACATTCCACTGTTGTGAGATTCTCTGTATTTTAAAACATGTGTAATGTAATACTTTTGAAATGAAGGAAAGTGTATTATGCATATATTTGTGTGTGTATCACATATGTACATATTTTAATTTACAATCCGGGGTCTGCAGTGGCCGCACGATCTAAGGCGTGGGTCTTGTGCCTGTTTGGTCGCTGGGACCATGGGTTCGGATGTTTGTCCGCGTCTTTCTGTGTCGTGCTGTCCTGTGTAAAGGTAGAGGCCTTGCAACGGTTCAATCCCTTGTCCAAGGAGTCCTACCGAATGTCTATAGATCAAGCCAACTGAAAAGTTGGGGACCCGTTAAGGGTACCACAAAATGTACAGACATTGTTAAACCGGAAAAAGAAGAATAATTTATATTCCAAAACTGTGTAAATTGTGTCTTGCAGTTTTTAAATTTTAAGTTAATTACTTCCTTCCTGAGGATGCCTGAAGCTAGAAAAGTATACCACTATTCCAGAGCATCTAAATAGCATGCTCAGTTTGTTTTATTGCCGTGTGCTGCACAGCAAGATCGTATTTGTTTGGGCAGATTTCAGAGAAGCATACTGTCTCCATTTAAAGGGCTGAAGTGACAATGCTGGGAATCAGGGGGATTGTATTGGGTAGGGAAGTCTAGAGGAATGAAGTAGAGATTGAACGAGGCGAGTGGTGAGACCCCAAAGACATAAGAAGAATGGATGTGATCGGAAGGGGGAGAGTTCGAGGGAAGTGGTCGCCCCTCATACATTTTGTTTAAAATATCATCTTTGTGGATGGTTCAGTGTTTATAATGAGACTTTTAAAATATTCATAATGTGCAACGACTAATTTTGAATTAGCTATTTTTAATGATTAATACTCTGTGTTGAAAACTTCCTGCCGATGGTTTCACATCCACTTTAAAGACGTTCTTTGAAAGAATAAACACGTTGATGAAATAATTCAGCAGGTTTGTATAGAAATGTGTATGCAGTAAAGAATTTTTAGATTGTGTACTATATTTTGAAGTGGAATATGTGTAATTATGATTTTAATAGTGATCAGTGTTTTAGTCATTTATGACTGGCCAAGAGTTACTCGCTTTTGTCAGGTTTGCCATTCAAGTAGACATGCCACATTTGAAACCAGAACATTGTTTATTCTTGAGATTGTATTCACATTCGTATATTGTGCAACTGAATTCAACGTTCTTAGACGTTGAATGAGAGCAAACTTGTAGAATTGGAAAGCAAAAACAAACTTGTTAAAAAGTCTGCTTTTAATTTGGCTTTATGTATAAAACAACGACAGAATTGTCTCGTTTGCCTGACATTTCAGACATTTGGAAACAATTTGTACGCACCAAACAATCGATTTTTAAGTAGCATTTGTCATATGATTGCCACGGATGTGTAATACGAATATGTTCAAAAAGAACTTTTCTGTAGCGACATCAAACGTATTTCAATGAGAAGAAACATTTAATAATTTGTTGGTATGTTGTGAGCGGTTGTTAAATTTCAGCCCCATCCCGAGGGTGAAAGACACTCCTACCCCTCGGAGGCTGTCCGCAAATTTATTCGCAGATGCCCTCTGTCTGCAAGGTGCCACGCCCATTAGCAACCTGAGGACTCGATGTGCCGTAGTCCCAGCTATCCATTTGAGAGGAGTATTTGTAGGTAGAATTTATAGTATACTTCGATAAACATTTGCTATAAGCGCTCATTATGGTCGTAGATGACGTAATGAGCAGTTCAATTAAATTTTCATCCCCCAGTTGGCGACACGTTTCCCACCACGAAATGATTCCAAATGTTCTGTACCCGCGCACACAAATGGAAGTCATGTTTCGAGTCCGTTTTCTTGTTCGTCTACTAGTGAAGGGTCTTCGTAATAGGCACTGTTTTCACAAGAAATCGAAAGGAATGACAAGTAGAAGTAATTGAAAAAGTAACTAAAATTTAGCATGCCACTGATATTTCGGTAAAGTATGTTAATCTAGGTAACGCTAGACACTTGTCGGAATTTTGGAACTTTGCTACCTTCACGCAAGCTATTATCTAAACCAAATAGATCTATTTATGCTCGGGACTGTGCCGGTGCATGTGCACTCATTGACCGCACGACAGCGAAAAAAGAATCATCTTTGTGTTATAAATAGTCTGTACAATCTTTGGGTCGAACCTTCGTTTAACGTAGCCATTTGGTCGTAAAGGCATATGATCTTTTCGTGTTTTACAAAGGAAATTTTGTCTTCACTCTCATCATTGTTACCGCGTAGAAGCTTTTATAAACTAAAATAATGGAGAATGAAAGGTAAGAATTTGTATTAATTTTTTTGTCACTGATGTTAATGTATAGCCAATAGAAACAAATAATAGTGCCTGAAAATTTTATAAGGTGGGGATTATAACCCACCCCTCCCCTTTCCCAAGTCGATTTTACTGTTAGAATTAACATGCGTCAGTTTTATAGCTTGCTGTGTTTGAAGTATGTGATTGGGCATTTAGATTGTAAATGTTGGGTCTGAAGATCAAATGGCAATGGATCAAAGTTCAGTAAAAATAACCACACAAAGTTAAAAGCGTATCAACAGTTAACAAGCCAAGTTTGTATTGGAAGCTAATTAGTGGAGACTAGATTACTGATGTCGGGATGAATAAGGATTATTAGGAAGATGGAAACAGCTTAATGCTTTAGGATATTAGGGTATTTTCACAACGATGTAATCGTAGTAAGTTCATTGGATTATACAAAAATGTTACCTAGGCCTCTTGCCCTTAATACACAATTCATATAGAAAAATATGTTCAAGCCTACCACCAACTTTCGAATTATCCCAATTGTGTTTCAAGTAGAGTGCAAAAGAATAATTTTAACATTCTTTCTCGTTTCACATTAATTTCAGGAACTAATAAAATTTTGTGTTGAAAGTCTGCGAAATATCTGTTAAGCCAGGAATTGGTTCATAACGTCAATATCAATAGAGGCTGTATTGCTTTACATAACGGAATCAATAGAGCTATAACTTTTAGTATTCCCTCTTTCAGAAATGTAACATTGACTATTAATGTGGATGCTGAAGAGGAGTAGGGCTCGATTTTGGGCTGTTACGCCATAGTAGTAGTAGTAGTGGATGCTGAAATGGTGGTCTGTGTTGACATGGAGTAGAGATTCAGAGAACAACCATTTAATTTGTCTATCGGATGATTATAAAGCATGCACCCCACGTGTGTCAAGTTTTCCCGCAAAAGGACGTTTAAGGGGAGAGAATATTAATATTTACGAGCAAATAAAACTTAAGTTTTGTATGCTGATTGGTCCTATTGTCGTTTAGACCTTTCTTGTTCTCATGCCACCATGAGAATATCGACGAAAACAGGAAATTTTAAGCACTGCAGGTCATATATGTCTTCCAGTGATGCGGCTGTCGTAATGTGTTTCGTGTATCTGTTGATTAAAAAATAATGAACAGGAAGAAAACGTACTTCATAACTACGTTGAATTGCCTATTTCCATTTAACTCTCAATGTTCAAATAAAACCACTACAGTTTACTGCATTGTCCCCTGTCTAGACCTAAGAAGAGGGTAGGTTTTTATTTATCGACGCTGTCAATATTTCATGCTGTAGCTGCCACATAAGCAAATGGGGGGAGTGAGGATCTTCATAATTGGTACTCTTCAACCAGATATTAGTAAGGTGATGAAATCAAGGAGGATAAAATGGGTGAGGCAAGGGACAAAGGAGAAATCATACGAAATTTTAATGGGAAACCTGAAGAGAAGAGACCACTAAGGATATGTAGGCGTAGATTAGCCAATATTATAATGGACGTTAAAGATATGTAGTCTGAAAATGGGAACTGGATTAAAGTGGCTCATGATAGAGTACAATTGTGAACACAGTAATGGATCCTCGGATGTCATAGAAGGTGGGATATTTTTTGTTAGACAAGAGAATAAGTTTTCCAAGCAAGACTCTACTGTGTGCAGTTATAATGAGGTGGCTCTCAGATTGTTGACCAGATATTTCTTACTGATGACGTGGACGGGAGAGCTTCAATGTGATTTTGTTTCCACTTCAAGTGTTTCGTGTTTGAGATCTCAGTGCACATCAAGTTTGTAATATATTCGTTTTTAAATGAAGGGTTGACTCTCGTTCCCACTGCAATGAACACTTCCTTGTCCCATAATCCTGAAGTAGTGTGCGAGGTTAACTGTATGAGGCCCCAGCGATCTCTGGAGCGTGATTGGTTTGATTGTCACGTGCATCATGCTCACTACAAACAGTATCGCTCCATCTGCCGAGCATCTTGACAACAGCTTGTATTCAGTTTCCGAAACTGAAAATTGATTTACGCATTCATTGCAACCAGAAACGGCGTCTTAGACAATCATAGTAATAAAGTAATGGTGTTAGTACACAGAAAGGCTCGATGCGAATGTGTACAATAGTGATGGTTACATGGATCACGAAATTCAGTCGTTATGTAAGAAGTGACAACGTACTTCTTTGTCACAGCATATGGAGCATATAAATACAGGTAATGTACACCGTGTTCCATAATTATCTTTACAACTTTAACACCTCATTCACACGACATAACCCCTCTGGACTTTTCTATAGGGATATAGTGTATCGAACAGAGGTTCGCAATTTGGAAGACCTGAGACGAAGGATTACTGCAGCCATCGCAACAATTGTTGCAGGGGTGCTAGAGCGAACATGGCAAGAAATCGAATTTCGTCTTGACGCGCTACGTGTAACTAATGATACGCACGTAAAGGTGTATTAAAGCAAGAAACAAACTTTGAGAGTTGCTCTTTCATATGCAAACAACCGCATTGTGATATCTCATCTCATTATTTGGTTATTAAGTGTTAAAGTTGTAAAGATAATTATGGGACACGGTGTATTATATTCTATGCTTACACCGCAAGGGACAGTTAATGACAGCAATGTGTTGCTATAATTTTATTATTCAGCGTCATAATAAACACATTGTTAAATGGATCGTAAAGAAATGGAGTGTTAACATGAAGACGATATGTCATTCTTATGAACCTCTGTGTTTCATATGAGGAAGGAAATTTGTTGGCCAGCAAAAATTGTCTTCTCATAGTAAATCAATTACAATTACGAATTGGTAATTTTATTAATTACTTTTTAGTATTTTACTGGTGCCGAATGAATTTTGGAATAATGTATTAGGCTTCGAGTGATAATAGGTTTGCTGGTTGTGTGCTAAAGAACTGGTTAAAAGATTTAAAGTCGTATCAGCTACAACTTAAAACAAAGTTTTAATTTATCAAACGCCTTTTCCAAAATATCGTGTGTATGCCACACATTAAGACCATATTTCTTTGGGTTCCATTTTAATATCATTCTTTCATTTGGGTCTAGGTATCCCAAGTGGCCTTTTCTCTTCATGTTCTCCTAATGAAATATATGTGGTTTTCTTCTTCGTTGTGTTTGCTACAGGCTGTGGCCCGCTTGTCACCCAAATAGGCTAATATTTGGTGAGCGGTACAAACTATGAAATTCGTCATGACGTAATTTTTTCTACTCTCCTGTTAGTTATCCTTCTGTAAAGTTTAAATATTTCCTTTGGTAGCCTACTTTGTTTCCAGCTACCCCCAGTCTGTGTTCTTCTCTCAGATAGCGACAAATTTTCACACGAACAGGTATATATGTGCCTATGTTTAACGTTTGCCTACTTCAAAGCAAATTGCTTCTCATGAAATCCGTCTATTCGTTTTCCTATCCTGAAACAGGTTGACACAGGTAAGATGAACGGAATTAACAATCAAATTGCTCGCGTGTGCATCTCTGAAGACTCAAGTTTGAAATAATGGAAGGTACTTCTTCTCTAAACTATTATAAATATGTTTATACTATAAACTTGCATCAGGTTCTGTCCATCATTTCGGAATATTTGAAGCTGGCGACTGTATGTATATAAAGACAGATCGTTGATTATTTTTTTGTATCATTCTGTATGTTATTTGCATAGGAATATTTACAGAATGTCGTTATCAGTGTTGTCGAATGTTATCGAAGTTTAGAAGAGGCTGCGTCTTATGAAACATGAGAGGCGGGATGCAGTTAACAGTATTCTTCATTTATTTAACGTTTCTCATTGCATTGGTCGAATTATATGTAGACAGACTTGCGATTGATGAATTGGAACGGATGTGGAAGGTGGCGGTCGTGGACCATTTGAGGTACCTTCCCAACATTTCTGTGGAGAGGCTGGATAAAATCTCGAAACTGTCAGAATAAGCTAGCTATCCGCGGACCGAGTTTTGAACCTGGTGTTTCTCGACCATGAATCGGGAATGCCAACCACTCAACGCATAGGAAAACCAAATACATTACAGGCATAGTAACTGAGACTGAGCTGTAGAGTACTGCGGAAGGGAAATGGTGTTTCTTGAATGGACAGTGTACGCTTCATTATCTGCTATCCCTCCCAGTCCTTCTCATCCCATTGCCTTTCACTTTTAATGGACGTGGAACGCACAGATTTATCCATCTACTGTAACAGACATAAAGCCAGATATTTTATTTTGAAGGTGTTTAAAAGAGACAACAATAAACATCTGACGTATTTTTTTCTTATACTAATGTTTAGTTTCTCTTTTACTACGCTAATAGGCCGAGTGGAATTAAATTGTGACAATAAAACACGATGAAAACGTCTCACAGCTCTATTAATATTCTAGTAGTATTCTAATGCTTCATTGCAGTCTGTTGGTCGGTTGCATTACAAGAACTGACGAACAGGATGAGTAAAACAAGAAGATTGAAGAGGAACAATCCGTACCAGAATACACTTTCCATAGGCGTTCTTTTCACCTTGGCATTCTCAATGCTCTGTTTAGATTATTAGATGCTCTTTTTTGTTCAGATTCGTCACCGTTTCAGAGTTAAAGCGTTTTTAATTTCATGTAGCTTTAACAATTTTGATTTTTGAAAGATGGAAATAATTTGTTTTAGCATAACATGTCAATTGATTTACTTGTTTGCATTGAAAGGAAGAAAGAAAGCAAATTTTGCCGTTTGTACCATCCTTCAGTTGTATTTCTGAGTTTCTCTCAGATTACAACGAAACATTAAAAATTCACATCTGTAACATTGTCTCCAGCCCGGATATCAACACTGATATGCCCTCAATGCAGCAAGAGAAATTTCCGTCCCAAACACCATAAACGAAATGCGTGTACCCAACAACCTCCTTAATTATTGTACAAGAGCTTTGAATTACCCAGTACATACAAGAGACTTCAAATATTGATACCATTACTTTTTTGTACATAGTTCTGAATCACTTACGCGAATACGGAAGACCGCCAAAGTAAATAATAACACATCTATCTGACAACAAACCTTTGAAGTAGACTTCACTGCACTGATAAGTTTTCTACAGAATTTAGTTTAAAGGGAAACGTACACATGACTCCCTTGAGAAAAAAAGAGGGACATTTGGGATACTTTGCATATTGTATTAGATAGAGCATGACAAAGTACAAATCGGTTGAAGGCACGTGTTTTTGTTTGTTATTAATGTTTTGAAACAGTAGCGAATCAACAATTTTTACCTTTAGAAAACAAAGTGATATTACCGTCACCTATGGTGTGTGTGTGTGTGTGCGTGCAGGACTTTTGAATCACTCTCTAGTTACGATGACAGTGTATCTTTATCTTTGACAGTCTGAGATATTGTACCGATAAGTTTAACTCTTGTTCCCTTCTTTGAAAATATTCCAGAAGTTTATCAGTGGATCAGCATGCTTTGTGAGTGTCTTCATTTCTGACGGTTTTAAGCTTTCATTTGCAAAAACTAGATTACAAAGAACACATCTGAAGCTAAACAATTTCGCTTTCTTTGCACAACCATATTTAAAATAGAGGTCTATTTCAAATAGCCCTCATTAAATAGCCTGACACTAATTTTTCTTTTCTTGAAATGTGACTGAGGCGAAATGGAATACGAGCCGGTTCCATTGTTTTCAATACCATTAGTACCTTCTTAGTTTAATTTGAATATACTGTTTATTGTGTTGTTTATTTAATAGCACAACAGTCTATTGTAGGGATGATTAAACTTCCGAGGACTGAATGAATGAAATACAGCGAAGTCTCCATCTTCAGCTCTGAGAATGGATACAGCATATTTCTGCGAAACGTTGGTATCTATCCACAAGTCTACAGGCGTCACAACCCAGAAGAACAATATTTTATTTGAAATTGAATAATAATTAAAACAAGATTGGAAAGGTGTACTCTTTGAAGTACACTGAAATTCTAAATGTGTTCTTCACGCCACATCACGGGAGATGACATCATGTCGCTTCATTGGTAACCACGGCACAGAAAACACTGATAAAAGTCATTGCTGGGATGTGATTAGAGATAATTGTTGTAAGCCAACAATGACATCGGTTCCCATTTTTACAACATATTCCTACAGGTGCCGCTGTTCCCATTGTTGCAACATTGTGTTCCGCTTTATTTTTTAAACAGTGTGAGCCGACAATGACCATGGTTACATTGTTGCAATAAAGTTTCAACATTTACCCCTGTCATGCGGGTTGTCTGTTTTCAGGAAAATGCAACAGAGACCGACGTGAACGGGCCCATAAGCTGTTTTTCGTTCATGCTAGAGAGCGAAGGACACTTAAAAAGCATTGTGTTATATATTTATTCAAAGTAATCGATTTTACATGGTATTATGTCGTAAGTGTCGACTCAATAAATTACTACACACGATCATATGATGGGTTGTGATCGGCAGTTTAAAAAATACAAGCGTCATAGTTTAGGGACTTTCTTGAACGGATGTTGGCTAGCGTAAAGGTGTAATCAACTTGTAATTTTCTGTGAACGAATAGAACAGTACTATAATTTTTTAAACGTATCATGTTGAATTAAGTTTTATTTTATATTATACAGTTTTATTGCCATTTAGAAGATGTCTATGGAGAAAATATATATGTTCTGTAGAACTATTTTCTGGGTGCATGATTCATGAATTGACGTGCAGCGTGTGGAAAATTGCGAAATCAGACCTACGTTATGAGACGAGACGAAAGTAGGAAGTTGGAAGTTGAAAGTTGAAGTTATTTGGTAATTAGTGGTTTTGTGGCATCATTACCATTGTTCGTGATGTGCTGGTTTTATGATAGTGGTATATATATTTCAATGATGCTCATGTGCACAGTGAAATATATCAGTTGAGACTTTCATATGGGAACGGAAGTACAAGTTTCATTTGTGAATGAAAGTATTGATCTTGGTTGGCTTTGTTTTCAAACGTTTAGCAGGTTAATGTGGTGGGTATTATTATTATTATTATTATTATTGTTGTTGTTGCTGTTTCTGTTTGAAATTAGTCTCTTGTCTACCCTACCAATTCTGTATTGTGCGCAGTTTCCACACTTATGTCAGGAGCTGTCCAGTATTATAGCAGTACGTTAGGTCTTTGTTCTACACTTTCATTGATAGCATATTTTTATTTAAAGTTAATATCTTCGAGATATGTGTTCTGGGTATAGTACTTGGTGTTTTACGTAAATACCAAAATATTTGTAAAACTTTATCATATAACTTGGAGAAACCATTAGTAAGAAAAGAGTTGCAACTTTGGAATGTACTATCCAAGAACAATTCATCACCCATTATGTGATTGTCAGCACTGTCATCTTGGCATGTCTTTATAAATGCAGAATCTTGTTGAGAACTGGAATACATATTATTTCCACATGCCAGACTCCCAGATTTTTGTACTAATAATATAGTAATTTTGACATGTAATTTCTTTCTTATTTATAGATAGATTTCATTACTAGAGTTTGTTGTTACCGTTGATATGTTTACAATGTTTTGACCATTTGTGTCAGGCAAGCCAGAATGTTTTGTGTGCCAGTAAGTAAAATCTAACTTCAGTGGTACAGATGGATTAGATTGGTTTTTGTAAGTCTCAGTAATTTTAAGTGAAACCCAGTGTCTGTTATAGTCATATGTGGTTATTGTTCAAGATTAGCTTACAGATTTGTCATGAAGCATGCAAAATTGTTTTGTTTATGCTACATTTAATTACCTAATGTTTGGACACAGCCTCTGCATAGAGTAAAAATTACTGATTTTGGATATCATATAGGATGATCCCCTCTAAAATTATACAATTTTCATGAACTTGAGCATGATTGCAGTAATATCTGGATGTTCAGTGGAAATCACAGATGCAGTACAAATATGAGAAACAAGAAATGTTATAGACTGCTTACGTATGTTTTGTGACGAGTGGCTGGTGTGATCTGAACTGAAGGTAGAAACTGCCCCTGTACAGTATTATTTCTTTTTGGTTCATTCTTTCTTCCTTCCTTCTTGCCCTTATTCTCTTTATTTATGTAGTTCATGTTGTGGATAGCCTGGTGCCTTTTGTGTAAATCAGCACTTATGTAAGAGTTATTTTTGTCTTGTGGTGGATTCTTAATAAACATTGAAACTATAATCAAGAATTATGTAGATGGACTGTCAACCTAACATGTTTATCTTGTACCAGAGGGCACTGCTCCAAGTGCCTGTGAGCAGGATGGAAAGTATGATGAAACTAACAACACAGAATCCTTTATCACTACTTCTTAAGTTTGGTATTATGGCGTGGAATGGAACCTGTACTGATAATTGTTCGGGACATGGAGAATGCCACAATGGGACTTGTCTCTGTGAGGTAAGACTTATAAATTTACAGTGTTCACAGAGATTAAACAAAATTTAATATATTTATGTTATACTTACCAGTTTCGATTGTTCCTTGAACAAGGTCTGTTTGAATTATTATTGGCAATTGAAAATTAAAAACTTTTTTATAAAAGTGTGAAAGTTAGGTTGTGTTTCTCAGTCAACTTTTTGATATATTTTCACAGTTATAATAATCTAATATTTTCTGTGCATGTTATTTTATATAGTTGTCATTTGTGCTTAGCAAGATGCTATTTCATAAAATTATCAATGTTTGTTATTATTGTTGGAAGTCCTCTGCATAGATTTTAACAGTATGGGAGCATGAGGTGGTTGGGTGTTGTTTTCATTTGTTTCCCAATGAATAGAATAGATTGTTTTCAGTATGGACTGTTTTATACACTTTTTTGACAAAATGAAGGAATCGCTAGTGTCTGCACAAACAGATGTATTTCAGTTATTTCCTTGCACAGAATTTTCAGCT